GATACAAGAGCTCACTGAGTGCTCCATGAGCAGTTGTGCTTCTGGATGCACCCAATCTAATTGTGTTCCCTCCTTCTCGCACGCGCCAGCCATCGATATCCTTGTCTAGCATATGGCAATACTCGGTCTATCTATACTAAGTTCTTGTATTGTGAAACAGATATACGTTTGTTTCACTTCAACTTATTGCACTGTCTGAACTGGTGCAGACAGTGCAGGCAAAAAGAACAAGCCTATTGTCACACTACTCGACACGGCGAATAGATGAGTTGTGCTGTGATGAGTTACAGTGCTGTGTCGCTAGAAGTACCAACCATGACAAAATAAAAGCGTGTTTTGTAGTGGCATACTGTTAAACTTAAAAGTAACATAACCCTAAATAGTAGCTCGTAAAATTGTGAATACTGTTGTTGAATGTTTTTACATTACTTGAGATTGATTGTATTACACAATACTTGTTACATTCTCATTTTAGTGACATGGATAGCGAAAGGAGTAAAATTTTTTTTTTTGTTATAGTTGACTATAGAACCACCTATTGGGGCTTTATCGAAACACATGTGTTCCAAGGAGCACCCTGACACTGTGTGACTCTGTGTCACAATTTGTGTCGTAGGTGGAAAGCACCCTACGTAATTATGGTGATTGGTGAAAAATTGAATTAATCTACAAAAAAAAGTCGGTGTAAAGAGTGAAAGAATCATTGTACGAATTCCCATCATCTTATTTTTTATGCAGGAAGTAATTCAAATGAATAACATTTAACCAAATATATTTATAGGTTATGTATAATGTAAAAAAAAAAAATTAATTTCTCTCGTAGAAAAAGTCTTGAAAGTGACAAAAATACAATTGATTATATTTTCACTATTTTCACAAAAGACGTTTATTTCGTAAAGAATTATATTTATATTTATTATTTTAGTATTGCATGTAAATACAAATTGTATTATGGATATTGTTTTTACAGATAAAAAGTTGCTGCGATCTCTTGTGAACAATGAAAAAAACAATGAAACATCAGAAATCAGAGTAATTTTACTAGTTTCGCAAATTCTTCAAAAATCAGTAAGCCATCAGTGTTGTGTAAGAATTTTGATTCCAAAGAAAACGATAGTTCGATTAAAGGATTTATATGGCCTGATGCTGTGGTATATTTCTATAAGAATTGTATTGGGAGAAAGAATCCGATTTCAATTCGAGGTTTAAAAGAAATATTACTGTTTAGACTGAACTAACAGAAAAAATAAAACAAAATTCGAACGGAAAGTACTCTGTAATTGGACTACAATGTTCTGTAAAGATGTCTGGTCTTAGAAGAACATTTAAAAATATAAGATCAAAATAAAAAGATCAGAAATTGCTGGAATTTTATTTGGTAAATCTATATTTCATATTTTTATAAATAATTCATTAGAAAATGAAATACAAATTTGATACTGTTAATTATATATGTAATCTCTTTGAATTTTATAAGTAATTTTCTATGTACTTGAATTATATAATCTGGATAAATGTTTTTACAATTATAATTGAAGGTGATAAATTCAATTATTGAAAAAAATAAAAAGCTTTCATAATGCCACTTTCAATTGCTTCGAGCGAAAGTTCACCTAAGTCAATAAATAAATGTGACAAAATTGACAGTGGTAGACTCGATAGTGACAAAATTACTCATTTCTATCTAGTAAATAATAATAAATTAGAAAGATTTTAATTTTATAATGTGTACATATGTGCTTAGTAATTAATTTCTATTTTAGATCCATGCCAAAAGCGAAGAGTTGAGACTGTCCTGAAGAATTTCAATGACGATATAAAAAAAAAGAGAGATAATGATAGCCAATAAGGAAGAAGAATCAAACGACTCACATATTTCATTTCTCTTATGCTGTCCTTTTCTTTTTATTTCTATTTCTCCCAAAATTTGAGAATCATCAATATTAAACATTTCATCAAGTTTGTTTATTAATTCTATATCGAATAAATCTTTCAAATCAATACATAAATTGTGCAATACGCAACACAAGATTATAAATTTTGACATTTTTTTGACATCGTAAAATTGTAATTCCATTAACTGTGACGAAATCGCAACTTTAGCAAGCCAAATGTATTTTCGATGCGCAGTTCCATAAAATATTTTATTGTATATTTTTTGCGATCAAGTAATATTTCCATAATCTTTGTAAGATATTAAAAGATATTTCTTTATTGCGGTAAGCACTATTGCCTAATAAATGATATTTACCATTTTGACACATAAATCACTAATATTTTTGCTTACAAAGGAAAATGTAAATGTCCTGCTACATAAAGTTTGCCAGTCACTCCAGTGAAGACATCAATAAATCTTTTTTTATCGTCACAAATTCCTTGTAATATATAAGACTTAATTCTTTTATCATGTCGATTAACACAAGTAGATCACATTTTATGTTTACAAGTACGAATGTTTATATACAATTCCGTTAATACATCCATATTACATTTGAAAACCTGATATATCTGGAAAAAAATAATCATTTATTATTTTTATAACAATTTAATAATAATAAATAATTTTCTAAATTTTTTTTATATATATATATTTAAGATATAACCTTTGTAAAATAATAAGCTCGTCTTTTTCTTCGTCATTATTGGGAAACTTTATAATATTTAAAATCATAGAAAGTGAAAATGCCTAATCGAGTCTTGGAACAGGATGTTAGTGTTTTATTATCATTGTGTGAATATTATATACCGTGTATGTAGTCTCCTAATCGCGTGCCGAAATTTTTCTTCAGACTTACAACGCAACTCTAAACAACTACCACGATAATATCACTTTTTGTTAGATTGACACACAATCTAAAGATTATTATGTTTTTGACATGTTATAAGAAAATTGGAGTTTATATTGTTTTTCTGTTTTTCCCAACAGATTCTGATAGTTGAATAATGTCTAAGAAGAAGTAATAAAAGTATAATTTACTTGAATGGTTATATGCTTTCCGTCAATTGCCCCAATGTAATGTAGGAAGTCCCATAGACCTTCAAAATCTTCTGCAATTCTTTATCAGTTATTTTTAAGCAATTGAAGTAGAAGGACCAAAGGACACAAATAGTCCCAAATAATTTTGTACGTTGTAGCAATAACATTACTTACATCAAGCCTATCAATATTGATATCATTGAAGACATGGAATCACTAGCTGCCATATATCTAAAATACAATAGCTGATGTAATACAATATAATACGGTATAACGGAGTATTTGATAACGTTTATAACACATTTATATAGGTAATTAAATTAAAAATTAAAAAAAATGTCTACCGTAATGTCAATGTCAATCGTTCTACATTACTCATCGGCTTTCGCACATATATTGTTTCTCTAGGTACAATATGATATCCGAAAATAATTATAAAACCACAAATCTTCGAATTTCAGTGTTGGTTGCAAGGCATGATAAAATTCATGCTCACACATGTCCAAACATTGCAGGCTCTAATTTCAATAACTACAAAAATAGTTGTAGCATCATGATATTAGCTATTTGTGATGCTATTTACGTTTTCTATAGTTTGTCGATATTGGTGTATGCTTTTCAAAAAATTGGTGCAACCATGGTGGAAATATACTAGGGTGCAACCTAGAAACGCTTTTTTTTGTTTCCCCGTTTCTTATTTCGGCTAATAACAAAGCTAATGATCCGAGCAATTTGTTACTACTGCATTCTGCTGATTAATTACATGAGTGCAATGCATTAACTACTCATGAATTTTCATTTTCACAGACACCTTTATTTGTTAATCTTATTGAGATAAACGACAACTTTAATAAGAGAAAAGTCTTATTGAGGTATTGAAAAATTGAGGTTATTTCATTATAACGCGGTGAACGTCGCGTCAACGCCATGTCCACGCAGTAAACAGTATTAGAATCAAAAGCCCCTAGAATTTCGTTCCTTCTAAAGTGCCACGCTACCGCGTCCATGGTATTTATTCCGTGATCATTGAGAAGTTTATCATCCTTCACTATTGCGTAATGATAGTTATAAATGATTAGCCCATAAAAAGCCACACAATATATTTGAACGATAATTATGCCACTCAAGACAATCGGTAAGTAGAAATTTATATTAAATTCCTTTTTCTTCCACAGAATTGAAGTATATCTCATATCTCAATGTTTTATAACCTATTGAACGTGATGTCTTATTTAAATAAAATTAAAACGGAGAGCACAGATTCTTGTATAATGCATAACACGTAATGCATAGGAAAATATCAATTGAAGTCCTTCCTTTCCTTTCTTTGAAACAAAAAATTCTGATTGGTTGAATTTCTTATGATTTATGTGTTATGCGTTATGCAAAAGTCTGTACTCTCCGCTTAACTCATTTCTTTCAATATTATATGTTTTCAAGCTGAGATAGAACAATAGTATTTTTTTGTCGCATAGTTGAAATTCTTGCATATGCTTAAATAGAAATTCTTTATAGTTTGCAATGAATATTTTAGAGTACTGAGTAAGTTGATGTTGCTGTACAAAAGGAAAAGCGTGATGGAACGATGTACAAAAAGATAACAGCTGAGAGATGCTCAGAACCCTTCTGATCTCCCACGAGTTAAGTTTCTCAATTATTTTTGCTTTATTTCAGAACTTGTTATTAATGTAACAAATGCAATACGAGCTAATTCACGAAGTGAACGACTTACCCCGGATCTACAATACGTGTTTTAAGCCCTAAGCTGTAAGAAATTAACCAATTACAGTTGAAGTCGAGGAGAATGATCGACTACGATTTGTCCATTCCTTATGAGTTAAGGCTTAAAACTCTATTGTAGATCCCATGTTACCGATTTAACGCCAGAAATAAAGATGACGTTAGAGTAAAATCATTGTAATGCTTTACAACATTAAACTTGACATTATTCAATTATTTTTTCACGACATTAAATTGAACATACCTTCATTAACTTCACTTTAATTTATGCATATATAACTAAACTTACTACATATCTATTGAAAACCGTACTGAGAAAACAGAATAGTTTAGACTAAACAAACATACTAAAATGTAATTTACTCGTCAAATTCATTAAAGTGAAATGGATATTACAGGTATTGATTGCTATATATGTATATATATATAATTTTATGCTCAAGGTAGCTACCAAAGAAGTGTTGGCAATTAATGCTAGCCAGACAACAACAAGCCATTGGATCCATGCCATGACTGATGCAATCAATGAACACTTATAGCGTACATGGATAAAATTCCCAATGACCGAAGAGGATTGACAGCGAGTACGTAAAAAGTTTTCAGTTGCTATACAGCCATTTGGGGATGCCATAAGTGTTATAAATTGTACTTTTATCTATATTTTAGTCTCTTCTAAACATAAAGAATCCTTTGTTAATTATCATGATATTCGTCGAATATGCAAGCAATATAAATACAAATGCTCTTATTAAGGCTGCGGTCGAGTTGCCACTACGAATGCTTTGAAGCGTTTGATTAACCAATCAAAAGAAAGAGTTTTACAAATTGACCAATCAAGAAACGCTTCAAAGCATTCGTAGTGGCAACTCGACCGCAGCCTAAGTCTACTATTATATTGTATTGCGATTTTATCGCAAAACTTTTGATTGTATTTATCATGTATTTATGCTTTCAGATTGTTGATCCAGATATGAAAGTGTTATCATTGATTTAAGATATGCAGGTGCACGAAACAATGCATACATTTGAAGTATGTTTCTAATTCGTCGTGCTATAAAATTTCATTATAACAGAGGAGACCGGAGAACTTGGCTGATCATTGAGTATGGTGGAATACTTACACCTTGAAGTATTTTGAAACGTAAATTTAAATATTCGTATTTTTTACGAGGTGATGCTGGATCCATTGGAACCGTGGATTATAACACCCTTGATCAGTTTTCCCGAAGATACCCGATAGTTTCAGTACATGGAACAGCTTTGTAAGGCAAGAATTGTTGAACGTTTCTTTGATATATTTAAAGCAATGTGAAGATGTATTTTCTATCAACATGTGTTGATGTATGACTGAGAATTCAATATTATTTGCCTTTAGAAGAATTCCAAGAACCGATAGCTGTTTATCACCATGAAAATGCCGGCTTATGAACATCGATGAAGATGTAATTCAAAGAGGGTCGTGCGCTGTGGTACAGAGAATTCAGCGACAAATTATACGAGAGAGATTTCCCAATTTATGTGACGCAGAAGGTAAGAAATGATGAAGATAAAGGCGTATGTAACATGTGTGTGAGCGTGCGTGCGTGTGTATGTGTGTGTGCACAGCACTGTTCAAATATGACAAGAAACAAGATTGCAGCAAAAAATTTAAGACCGATTTACATAGTGCATTTACATAGTTCAAATATTTTTGAAAATTTTACGGATATTTTCTTTAATTATGCGAGAGAATTTGTTGATTATCGCTGAATTGTGATCTATTGTTAATGCCCACGTTTCGTGAACGTTGCAGGTCGTTTTATCAGGACGAGGAATGCAGTATTACCAATGTTTCTCCTAATGAAGTGAAGACAAGGTTCACCGATTCATAAAACTTCGACATTAACAATGGCTCACAATACCGCGATAACTAACAAATCCTCTGGCATAATTGCAGATCATTATTTACTTTCCTTCTACAAATATATATATATATATATTAGCTTTTATGTAAAATTTGATATAAAATAACTCCAATATTGGCTGCGTTCAGGAGAGAAAGCAACTTTGCAACTGTTGTAAAATTCTTTAATATGATTGGTCTTGCCCTTATTTCCTCATTAGATCTAAATGTATAAGCTAATCATATTCGAGAATTTTACAACAGTTGCAAAGCTGCTTTTTCTGCTGAACATAGCCATTGTTTATTTCAAATATTAATATGTATACATACATATTAGGGTGGTTCTTATTTATATTAGATCGAAATTTTTTTTAATTTTTTTTGTCTCACCCCATAAAATGGTTCCATTTTATGAAAAAATAATTTCTGTAAAATTTTAGTTTAATTGGATTACGGGAAAGGGAGCCGAAAGGCATCTAAAATCTTAAAATAGAATATGATAGTATATTTTACATTTATATTAATATTAATTATAAATATATAAATAATATTTATAATTAATATTTATTCAATGTCTTTAATCTATTATCCAAATAATTGGGCATGCACAAAGTATTGTATTATATAATATTTACAATATTGTTATAAATTAGCCTCGGTTTTAGTTTTACTGTTATAAATCAGGCTTAGTTTTAGTTTTACAATAAAGTTTATTACGGATTTATTACAAACTGAACTGTTACACAAGGTCAGAGCGAGCTCTCTCAGAGGAAGGTCAACAAACGTCTAAAAAACGAAGCGCGAGAGAAACAAAAACGACACACAATTCAGGAAAAAAGAACATCACTATCATAAAGACATGTTCACAGTAAAAATTCGCAGACAAGATTCTTATTTTATAACTTAGCGCAATCTAAGAACTCCCTCAACGATTATTCTTTCTCCAACAATAATACATAACCTAATTATCACATTTTTCGCAAATACTAACAATAATATACAAACATATACCAACTACTACGGAACATTTAGATTTTCACTACATTTCCGTCTTTTCGCCATCAACTTTCAAGGCGAAAAAGTTCACGAGGAAAGTTTCACATTTCCACAGTTTAAAAAGTTCCATGATCGCAAAAATTCTCGAATTCGCGTGAAATTTTTCACTTTTCACATTTCCACCCTAGGGAAAAATTACGTGATCGCTGCCCTTGTATCCCGAAATTTTTAGCCAATCAACATGTAATTTTTACTGAAAGACGGCAAATAGATTAGTTACACATTTTTTGATCCGAGAATTTGGACCGAATTCTAATGCCTGGTTTATGCTTCGGTCTTAAGGTCTTAATCCTAAAATTCAGCCAATAGAGTTCAAATTTCGGTTAGAACTGGCAGCTTTATTGGTTGAATTTTAGGATCTTGGGATTAAGATCTGAAGCATAAACCAGGCATAACATCGTGGACACAAGGCATTAAGCTCTGTTTACATAAGTCGCAGCACGCAAAATGCAGTTCGCAATCACGTACGCATAAGTAACGTTTCTTCCAGTACGCATTCGCAAATCAGCGATACGCGACGAATTGGTTCAACTTTAAAGCCTATTCTACATTGGTCTTATCGTAGTATCGTAAGCGTTGTGAGACTTTAAATTAACACATCGGATTGATTGTTGCAACAAATTTGTGACCTGCGACGCCTAGGATATGACCAATGTAGAATGGGCTTAAGGATGCCTTCACATACGACGTACCTTCCTAACTTGCATCAGCTAATCGAATCGTTTCAGTTACCATATGTATGTACTCTGCAATCAATCAGAAGAATCATATTATCGATACGAAGCAAAATCCTGTTTTCTGATTCGAACTATTGAATATCATATCTGAATATCGAGAAAACAATCTGTTTTCAGCTATACTGATGGGAGTGGGGGAAATATCTAGATATGCATATCTCCGTGAGATCGCACCTTTAATGGCGAATTCGACAGACTGCACTAGTGCGCACCAGTGCGAACTTTTTTGGTGCCACGCATTCGGAATATGCGCACCGTATCAGTGCGCTTAGATTATCGTATTCGGCAAATGAAAACTGACCTAGTGTAGTGCTGAATTTGTATTCGGACCAACCAACGACATATATATCTAGACCAAGCATTCTAGCTGCGACGTGAAGCCGGAAGTTGGCAGAATACGACTGAGAGAGATAGTGCGTTTGGATTCTTACCATCTCATTTTATCTTACGGCAAGATGGCCGATGCTGTCAAGACTGTAAGATAGAATGAGATAGTTATAACCTCATTCTATAATATAGAAAAATAATCAGTTTACTGTTTTGAGCTTTTGAGTGTAATGCAAAATTAAGAAAATACAATAAATTAAAAAGTGCAATGAATAAATTATTATATTTTTATCTAACGTTTATACGTATATTTTTCATATAAACAAAATATAATTATATAGATATATATATATGCGCAGTATATTATTTTATTTAATTCAGATACTATTTATTTATTAAATAATTCTAAACTATTAAATTCAACTATATTTTGTAAAAAAAATCGATTTTAGAGGTATGTAACATGTAAATTTCAATAATTAAAAATAAAATATATATAATATTCAATACTAAAGACCATTAATGTGAGCACACAACCAATACAAAAGTATAATATATATATTTTCGTATACCTGTGAAAGTTTGGTCCATCACCAAACTTAGTTTTGCAAATGCAACAATTCATTATTAATTTGTCTTCAACACAAATCAACACTGAAATTGGTACAAGTTATTATAGGTTACCGTATCTATTATAGGTTATTTATTCTAGGTTACCGTATTCTATCAAGTCGTGACAGCATCGGCCATCTTGCCG